GGTCCGACACGCAGATACGGGCCACAGGCACAGTACTGCAGGTCCGACACGCAGATACGGGCCAGAGCGGGCCACGGGAACAGTACTGCAGGTCCGACACACAGATACGGGCCAGAGCGGGCCACGGGAACAGTACTGCAGGTCCGACACACAGATACGGGCCGGAGGAGGCCACGGGAACAGTACCGCAGGTCTGACAGCAGTTAGAGGAGGTGCAATGTTTTTCACAATGCTGGTAAGAGCAATAGGGCTGCAAATGTCAGCTACTTAAAAGTGACTTAGCTGTTGTGCCTGCACCCCCAGGAAGGAGTGAGTGTGCTGTTCGAGCCCCCGGAGACGAGCCCAGCTCAGGTGGTGTGCCTCTTCGACCAGCCCACCCTGCAGGTGACTCCTGCTCGCTCGCTCCTCTCTCTGCACGCCCCTCCCCCTCCGCTGGCGCCATGCTCACGCCCTCTCCCTCCCCCAGGTGCGCTCGGCCAACGGCGCCCCCCAGGGGCTGCTGTGGGTGCTGGACGAGGAGGTCCTGACTCCGGGCTCCAGTGAGGCGGCGGTGCTGGAGAGAGTCTGCTCTTACTTCGGAGACACAGGTCTGTCCGCCTGCCTGTCGACCAGGAACTCTCGTTCTGGGACAGATCCAGAGACTCAGCCATCGCTCTGTTCTTCCCTCCCTGCCTCTGTCTCTCCACCCCTCCTGCCCTCTCAGTGCGGCCGTGTGAGCAGCCCCTGCAGTGTGAGGTTGCCCACCAGCTTGGCGGCGACCCGGTCCGGTATGACCTGAGCGGCTGGTTCAGTCTGGTCCAGGCCAACCCATCTGCAGCCAATGCCAGCACCCTGCTGCAGCATTCCAGCCTGTGAGCCTGCTTCTGTCTCCTCTCCTTCTCCCTCACCCCCTCTCTCTCCTCTGCCTCTTTCTCCAGGTCTGTCTGTGTCTGTCTGTGGTGAACGTCTGGAGTCGGCAGTGTTGCGATGGGTGTGTGTGTCCATGACTGTCTCTGTCAAATTCAAATTCAAATTCAAACAGCTTTATTGGCATGACTGTTAAATTACAGTGTTGCCAAAGCTATACACTCAGTGCAATGTGTACATACATTTGTAATCCACACTGTCTCCCTCAGGCAAGTGGTGCGCAGCCTTTTCGCCCCCCGGTCTGCTGTCCCCCCTTTCTGCCGGGGACTGGGGGGTGTGGAGGGGGGGTCCCAGCGGTCACTGCAGAGAGCTGGCATCGTCAGGAAGACCTTCAGCGGGGGGCAGGCAGCCCTGAGAGGACGATCGGCCTGTGTCACTATCAAACTGCAGGCAGTGAGTGCGACAGACATGGGCACTGAAGATGGGCGCCCAGACTGACTGTACCCATGGAGGCGGCCTGCTGGTCTTTATATTAATAATAATAATAATAATTAATAATTGCTTACACTTATATAGCGCTTTTCTGGACACTCCACTCAAAGCGCTTTACAGGTAATGGGGTCTCCCCTCCACCACCACCAATGTGCAGCCCCACCTGGATGATGCGACGGCAGCCATAGTGCGCCAGAACGCTCACCACACATCAGCTATTAGTGGGGAGGAGAGCAGAGAGTAATGAAGCCAATTCATAGAGGGGGATTATTAGGAGGCCATGATTGGTAAGGGCCAATGGGAAATTTGGCCAGGACACCGGGGTACACCCCTACTCTTTTCGAGAAACGCCCTGGGATTTTTAATGACCACAGAGAGTCAGGACCTCGGTTTTACGTCTCATCCGAAGGACGGCACCTGTTTACAGTATAGTGTCCCCATCACTATACTGGGGCATTAGGACCCACGTGGACCACAGGGTGAGCACCCCCTGCTGGCCCCACTAACACCTCTTCCAGCAGCAACCTTAGTTTTTCCCAGGAGGTCTCCCATCCAGGTACTGACCAGGCTCATACCTGCTTAGCTTCAGTGGGTTGCCAGTTGTGAGTTGCAGGGTGACATGGCTGCTGGCTTTATATTGAACTATAAAGAAGCACGGCTTCTCTGCTGCTGTCCTTTTCCTTGGGTCATCCTTTTATACTGTAGTATTGTAGCCTTGGTCTTAATAGCCCTTAAAACCATTGCATTTGAATGAATTGATGTTGCCGTTCATGTTGACAGTGTGAGTAAGTGATGTCCTATTGCTATTTATTTTGCATTTTAATGTTGTTACAATGTGGAGGTGAAGTGGATGGTAGTTTCTGGAACCCTAACACAGGTCTGGGCAGTGG